TTGGTCCACTGGATTTACCAGTTATACTTGTTGGCATGTACATTCACGGGTGAGCAATTAACAGGGGTCCAACATGTAAAATGGAAAGTAATAAATTATAATTACTGTACAAAGACAATTAGGCATCATAATCCATTTCAATGTATCAGAAACTGAAAACTGAAAGAAAATATTTGACAGAATACCATCTTTCTCATCTAGGGGCCATATGTGCTTGGAGAGGGCTTTATTCATTTGAAACATATCAATAGAATTAACATGAAAGAGCGCTTGCAGTGATTCATCACATATGATCTTCCGTTTGTTCTTTGGATCTTGCAAATTCTTCTCCCGAATATAGCTCCAAAGCCTCTTGACAACCTGGAGCCATGAAAACAGAAAGAATAATTAGGGTTCATGAAAGTTCGTACTCAACAACACAAACTGTATCCAAACTGAAAAAAATGAAAATTACTCAAACATATATATGATACCTCTGTTCTTGCCAATTCTGGCACTCCAAGAAAATTTTGAAGTTGTGGAGAAAGGCTGCATAATTTAGTAAAACCACCTCCTCTTTTCTTGACATCTTTATCAGCCTTTCCTGGCCTAGTCAATAGCAAGATTTAATTTTAAAACATCAACACTGACAAGTGCACAAAATTAACACAATATAATAAATCAAGGACTCTTGCATGAGATACTTATATCAGCCTTGAATAACAAATCAACCTGTTTGTGTGTATTAAATGTTTATATAACTTCAGTGTATTTGTATTGTGTTAAGAAAAATACAAATACATTATACACTCATCTTAAGAGGGGATTATTAGATATATAATTTACTTGTATCTTTCTCATTCTTTTCTGTAAAGAGTCCTACAACAAGTGGAACTTAACACAAAATACAAATACATTATGCACTCATCTTAAGAGTGGATTATTAGATATATAATTTACTTGTATCTTTCTCATTCTTTTCTGTTAAGAGTCCTACAACAAGTGGAACTTTCTTTGTATATATACTGTTTGAAAATAAAAACCTGTGATTATCCCTAAAATTTTGCATAGATAGCTATCTTCTTCTATCTTTTGTACATGGATGACACCTCCTACTTTCCTTGTTTACAATACCAATATCTTGTCAACAGAAAGACCTGTACCAAACCAACAGTGACGCTCTTGTATCAAACCAAATGCTTGTAGCTACCAGAAGCAGGCTTGTAATATAAGGCCAAAAGAAACTAGCCTTAAAACATAATATAATTTATACATGTCATCAACGAATTATGTTATCAACATGTCAATTGGACAAGGAACAGTGTTATAGTTTCAAACCGCAAATTGACCTTCTTAAACATTGAATTAGCTTCCACAGCATAAAAATAGGGGCCAAACCCCAAAAAATGATGCAACAAGAATAACAACTTTCTGTTACAAAAAAGAAAGGATCACAAAGACTAACCCTTCTTTCTTTCTTCCTTGTACACTGCTCGCTTCCTCTTCCTCTGTTTCTTCACTCCCTTCCTTATCCTCTTCTCTTTCTTCCTCTTCTTCATTTGCATTGTCAGTCTCCTCTGAGGGCCCTGGCAAAAAATTACAGATATACTCAACCTTTATCCTCTACCCAGTACAGTTGGTTCAGCGTGTACCAACGTTATGCAACTTTAGGAACAAGATTTAATTAGGAACAATATGATGTACCGTTAGAGAAATAAAGCTGAAGTTCATATGGAAAGCCTGTTTGTGGAGTTGAAGTTGAAATTGCAGAAAAATATAAACATCCTAAAGTATTCCACATGCTGGGAAAACATAAGTTTATGTAGAAAAATTAGTATTACAACAAAACCATTTAAAATTTTAATAATACTCCAAGAAGAAGAAGAAAAAATTTCAAGTGAATAAAAAGATTGCCAATACAAAATGCTCATGAGATTAAAGGTTAATCCTTCATTCCCAACAATTAATTTCTTACTATTAGTTATTGATTTTTTTTACCAGACCTTTTTTATTTTCTTTGTAGTCCAATGTTTCCTCAAGCAAATGGCAATATAAATAGGGTTTGAATAGTCTGCTTCTTTACATGAATTCTTTCTCACATATTGGGGAATTAAAGGTGTATGAATCAAACTAAATCACAATACTATTATCTCTAACAAGAAATGTTTCTCACGACAATTCAATAACTCAAGCAACTAATACAGAGAAGCCATTCATTAAGTCTTATTTTCCATTACTGTCCTTAGCAAATTAAACATAACATCCAATAGGAAAAATATGGTGCTGGAAAGTATCCTTTTCAAAGGAAGTTTATTTAGTCTAAATTTCATTTTTACACTTAAATATATTAGTGGGAGTCACCTTGCCCAAGGATAAGCAAGTTACGCATCCATAATCAGACTTGCAAAGGTCAGAATTCTATGACTAACAAACATAATTACCAAACATAATTGAACATGCAAAGTACGAAGCTAAGGGTAATTATTTGACCACTCAAGACAGAGAACTTAAAAAATTTCCCAATAACAGAAACCTGTGAAAAAAATAAATTTCTGAAGAATAAATACCATCTCCCTCGCTTAATGGCCAAATATGCTTTGACAGGGCCTTGTTCATCTGAAACATATTAATGGACTTTACACGAAAAAGGGCATGCAGAGATTCATCACATATTATATTTCGTTTATTCTTTGGATCCTGCAAATTGTTCTCCCTGATGTAGGCCCAAACCTTCTTCACAACCTGAAAAATGGGAGATGAACTCAAATTGCAAGAACTGGCAACAAAACATGAAGAGATTCTGTAAAATTTTCAGATAAAATACAACTTCACCTCTGTTCTAGGCAATTGAGGCGTTCCGACGAATTTTTGAAGCTGTGGTGAGAGACTACATAGTTTGTTAAATCCACCTCTTCTCTTGACTTCTTTCTTCACTTTTTTTGCCCTGTTAGATAAAAAAATACGTTTTTCAGAAATGTCATGAGTCTTGTTCCTATAATGAACAGGTATGCTCCTAGCTACTTTATAATATGATCATTGTGATCCTTATAAACATCTACTTCATTTCATGATAAATAATCACCTTGTAATTAAGAGAATCATATCTAACAAATGCTATACCAAGCACTCAATATTTGTAAAACAACTGCAAACAAACAGTAAAAACACTAAAAAGTTTAAGATAATGGAGTTAAGAAAACAGACACACCCTTAGTATTTAGTCTCATAACAGAGACCTGCCAAAATATTAGGATAAATTACTGAAGACTCCTTGAGGTCTAGGTATAATTACAACTAAGTCCACTATTTTTTAAAAAATTATAACCTAATCTATTCTATAAACCAAAATATCTTTTATTTGAATTATTTATTTACACGATATGTTTATATATTGCTATTTTTTGTTACTTACATAATGACATACTTTGACATATGGCACATGTTTCTTACCACCATTTAAAGCCTACTAAAAACCCGGATTAAAATTGATAAATTTATTTGTTATGCAAATAACATGTTATTTTTAATAAATAACTACCTATAGCTATTCCGAAAGTCCAAGGCCCTCCATTTAATTTACCTAAAGAACTAATTATCAGTGGAATTCCTCCTCTCCTCCTCTCCCCCCCTTCCTCCTCCTCCTTTGAATTACATTAAATGGCAACATACAGAAGAAAGGCCATAAAGATAGAAGCATAAAAATCTCATATGCATGCTTATTTATAGGAATCTTCAGCATCATGAATCATAAATATATTCTGAGGACTGATATAAACAAGTAGCAGAAATGCTGATAAGCAGACAAAATTAATGACAAAGAGTCCCCAGTTAACCAACAAGCACATAAAACCTGAACTGTATCATGAAACCATGATTTCCACACCCAAATTTGACAGTGAAAGCAATTATGCAATCTTGATATAGCGATCAAATCAATTTTCAATGAAGCAAAAGGACAACTTCAAATACATGTTAGATTAATCTAACCAGAATGGTAAGCTACAAGAATATTATGCCCATTTTGCAACTAATATATAACCACCTTTAAGAAGAACCCTCTTCAACCTAATCATCAACAAGAATGTTCTTTCCCCAGGAGCCCTAGGAATGATTCCAAACACCACCCACTAAGTCATGATTCAAAGGAACTTTACATGAAATGCATAACTTATCAATACAGTAAGCCCATAAGCTAGTTTTTGAACCAATCAAATCCAACAGTCAAGTCTCAAATGCATAAATCATTGAACAATGTCAATGAAAGTAGTCAAAATGAACCACCGAAATTAAGATGCACATACATTTCCATTTATTAATTTCGAAGTAGGAATCCAAAAGAACCACGCTTTAAAGTACAATTTTTGCACATCATTTAAAAGAGAACTGAATGAGAAGAGAAGAGAAGAGAAGAAAAATTTACCCTCCCGTTTGTTCATCATCATTGTCCTCACTCTCTTCCTCTTCTTCTTCTTGCTCTTCCCCTACGGCGTCGTTTTCTTCCTCTGATTCTCTTTTCACATTCCCTTCTCCTTCCACCTCTCTATCATCTTCTCCTTCACTCTGTGTTTCTTGCTGTTGTGTTTGGAGGAAAATGTCGATTTGCTCACTAATAAAAGCTTTACGGTCCGATAAGTCAACCATGAAATCTTTCTCCAGTTGCCTCCGTACACTGCCCGGAGTCGCCGTGTCAAGGTCCGAGCTCCGGAGGATTTCTCGGAGCCGGGTCACGAGGTCAGCGTCGGATACCATTTTCCCGTACTGCGATATTTCGTCGGTATATTCAATTGATGAAAAAGTATATTCGTGGCGAAAGGAGATGTTTTGGTTGGAAGATACAGAGAGAAACCGGCTGTTCTTCCAGGATGGCGTGTTCTCTCATGCAGGTGTTGGAGAAAGAGGAGAAGAGAAGATGGATTCGAGGGTACAAGTGGAATTATAGGAACAATATCAGGTTGAACCAGGCAGGGGATGGGGCCCCTAAAACGACGGCGTACAGTATCCACAACTCTTTTTCTGCTTGTTTCCAAATGGTCTCCCTTTTAGTCTCAGAGAATACATATATATATATATATTTATATATATCAATATATCCATTTAATGGATATTGATTTATTATTATGTCTGCAACTAATAAAATTGAATTACCCATAAAAATTTAAGAATCTTATACAATAAAAAGTTATATTATTCAAATTATATAATTTGATAATTTTTTTTATAAAATAAATACAATTACAATATGGGTATTATAAAAAAAAAAAAAAAACTCATCCCATTTGTAGCCTTAAATTCTTAAAATTCCCAGAAATTTTTTTTAACATATTACAATTTCATAAATAATAATTTATGAAATATCCAGTTAGAACTGTATGTACATTGTACAACATTGAGGTTTGGTAAATATATGGAAAATGGAAATATAATTTGGCTAACAAGCTTGGTGAGGCTGCCCTCTAGATCCAGTCAATTTGGCAATTGGCAATTGGCAATTGGCAACCCTCATTTTCTAAGGTGTACCCTGATCTGAAATGGCCAAGAAGAAACACCATGAATTAGACTGGTTTTACAAGGTATCATCATCCTCACTGTAATCAGAAGTCTTTTGGTCCAAATCCAAATCAGATCCACTATCAAAGTTAATATCTTGAATCTCTCCGGTTCCACCAGCTTTTAGAAAATCTTTTAGGTCTTCTAAGATGTAAGGTTCTGTCAATTTCCAGAACCAGGTTGAATTGCTTCCCATGAGACCTATCCAAAACACTTTCCCTTTCTTCTTCACCCTGCAATCTAGAGATTTTGCTTTTAATGTTTTCACTACCTTCTCAACACCTTCTAGACTTCCCCTCAGCCTTAAGAGAATGTCTCCGGATGACGTTCTGTGTCCCCCGTACATGTACCAGTATGCTAGAACTCGTGGTGACAACCACCGATGAATTAGTTTTGGAATCACTGGAACACCCCTAGGAAAAAACTGGTCTGCGTAGAAACCAAAGTAAGAATGTGAAATGGTAGAAAATTTGAAGGGTGTCTCATCGCTATCGTTTGATGGCTTGCTAGATGGATGTAACCACTCATGGTACTGGTTGTTTATGTATTGTCTTAAAATAGAATGGACACCATAATTCTCTCTGAAGTCGAATCGAATCATGTGGTTCTTCCTCTCTTCGTCTGAGACAATTTGCAAACCGCCTAATAGCAAACCTACAAGAATCTCTCGTTGTTCTTTGCTTAACTTCAGGCTTACCGGTTTCTTAACATCTTTCCTGACCAAGCTTAGGACACGATCAAGCTGTTCCATCAAGGGAGATTCAATGTCATATTTATTCTGGCACATGATATCGTATATCTTTTCTGCCTTTACGTAGTCTCCAGAAGCAAGGTATCCGCGCAAAATAGTATTGCACGAGCGTGTACTAACACCAACTGTCCCATTACTTTGCATTTCATTGAAAATCTCCTCTGCTTTGCCAAGATTACCGACTCTAACCAAAGAATCCAAGTATATATTGTAAATAGTTCTGTTCGGTCTACATTTCTCCATGCATTCAACGAAAGTTAACTCCAGCTTATTGTGTAAACCCAAACTGAGGTACATATCAACTAGATCAATATAAGATGGCATAAGTGGCTTCTTACCACTTTCTACAAACTCTTTCATCAAGGATTCTGCAAGCTCGATTTGTTGAGCTTTGCAGAAGATCTCTATGATCTTGTGGTATGCTGCAACACTGGGAGAACCAAGTTGCTCCTTCATTTCTTTAAATGCTTCCAAAGATCTCATGAACTCGCCAATCTTTGCATAAACTTCCATTTTATATACAAAAGCCTGAGAAGGGATACCACCATCACATCGGAGTAGTTTCAGCCAAGTTCTTTCCGCTTCTGCTACATCCCCCTCCTTTGAGCAAGCTCTCAATATGGACACAAGGACTTCTTTGCTCTCCTGAATACCCGCAAGTCTCATCTCTTCACTAAGGTTTGCTATCCTTTCTTTATCTATGGTTTCTTGGTAGCTATGTAACCATATTAGACCGCCATAAAAATCCCTATGTATCTCAAGATCTGATGTCACCAAATTATGAAAGATGAACTCAGCTTGTTTTAGACACTGTTTTGAAGCAGCAGCTGGTTTGCTCACCAGTGCTCGGAAAAGAGAGTTATGCAGACTAAGGCGGGGTTGGTAACCTGCCAACTGAATCATTCGATTATAAATGCTGCAGGCTTCCTCCAAACAACCTTTAACTTGTGTGCTAAGGTACGCAACAATTAAAATGTGAAACGTAGATTCACTAGGAATTCGTCCTTGATCGATTATGTCGTCAAATATCTGTCGGCATTTTGCAAACTTCCCCTCCTTACCCATGTAATCCGCCAACTTGGTAGCAAGAGCAAAATCAAATCGATACCAACTCTGCTGCATCATCCATTTGTAGACCTGGGAAAAAAAGACAAAAACTTTCAGCACAAACTCACGACAACATGCCCTAGCACACCATTAGAATCCTATCTGCAGTCTGAAATACAAACATTTAGCGAAACCAAAAGGCAGCGTATATAACTTATCAACCCGTTCCAAACTCTTAACCCTTACAAACAGCATGCCTAGGTTATTTGGCATTGAGTGTAGTTCAAATTCCAATTATATGGAATAAGAACATTAATATAACACAGGCACCGTAGAAACTCTAGCAAAATTTTTGAGTCAATACATGTATAATTCAAGTTACTTGTTTCCGTAGCATAATTGAAAATATAAATCCAACTGATTTAATAATGTATCCAGTGAGTAAATTATAAATAAAATTCAAAAATTTCTACTTGTTATTATCGCTTTCTGACTTACAAATCATTCATATGAGCAAGAAACTCGCAATGCAGAAGTCTCATGTATAAAGGGATAGAAGCCAAGCTAAAGTCTTTTGCTTATGTAACCTATGGAGCTTATCCAAGTAAGTCACCTAACCCGTTAAGCAACAATATCACAATTCATCTGCATAAACTAAAATCGTTTGATGTATCTCTGGTTCAGTGGTCTACACAATCAAGCTTCAATAACAACCAAGAAAAAGAAAGAACATCTGAAAAAGCATAATCCAGTTCTTTCCCCCTATGAATGGCCAATCTTTATATGAAATCAAAATTTCGAGAACCAACCCTGAAACCAGCCTCGTTTTCGCGAATCCGCATGAAGTGAACGGCGACATACGTGGCATCCTCCTGGCGCATCCACTTCCTCTGCGCGTTGAGGATCCTCAGAAGCGTTCCCGCCTTGTGCGCCGGCAGCTCCTTGCACAGCCAGGCTAACTTTGCCCTCCGCCATTGCTCCGGCAAATCCTCCAATTCCTTCACCTCCAACTCCGGAGACTCCAAGTGCTTAGTTTCGTTGCGAGCAACCCGCGCCCCGCTTTCTTCTTCGAACACAAAAGCCCCACTCTCGCCACTGTAATTAGAGAAATCCCACTTCTCCTCCTCCACCACCGCCTCCTCCTCTCCCGCCGAAACTCCCGCTCCGTGCGCCAAGTGCTCGACGAAAGCAGCACCGGTTCTGGCGAGTGGGGACCGAATACGTGGCCGGAAAGGGTAATCTCGGGCTGCGGCGGCTACTACGCACGGAAGGGGAAGGGTGGAGAGAGAAAGGAAAAGCCGGCAGCTGTTGCGGTGGTTGTGGTGCCGAAGGGTAAGAGATAATGAGCGGAGAAGGAAGAGAGTCGAAGAGCGCATATTAGGGAAACTGAAGTTGGGGTTTAAGCTAGGGTTTAAGGAGAAGGAAGAGCAGAGAGTTATGGCGAAAGATGGAGAGAGCTCCTGAGCTCTGCTCAAGATCATCGCTGAGTTCTTCCACCGCCTACCTTCCTAGTTTCCATTAATTTTTATGGCTGCGCTTCAATTTATTAATATTTCAATTTTCATTTTTTCTTACTATTATTATTTTTATTATTTATCAACATATACATACATAAATATAAAATATATTTCTTTAAATTCTTAATTAATAATAAATTATTTAACATAATATAAAAATTTATTATCCTTAATCTAAATAATAATAAATTTTTATATAATATAGTTTACTATAAAATTATAGTAACAATATATTTATTTAAATAAAAAAATTGATCGAATTTATTTTTGAATTTAAAATTTTTTTTATCATACGTTAAAAAAATAATGATTCAGTCACAAAAAATTTTTAATTTTTATATTAAAATATATTTGAAACGAACATAAATAATAAATAATAAATTATAAATTATAATTCGAACCAATCACATTATTTATTTTTTATTAAAAAAATTGATATTTTATATCTATATTTTTATTATTTTAAAAATTATTATTACATATTAATTATTTTAAATGTTATATCAATTATAAATTTTTAATAATAGAATATATTATATTTACAAATATAAAAATATTTTAATGGAGTTTATATTCTCGGCCCTACGGAGAGGGTTGCACGAGTGGTTATCTTACGGAGATAGTACCTGATCCTACCTCCTCCGCCGACCGTTTCTTAAACCCTCCGACCGAAACGTTTCTCCTTCTAAATTGGGAGATTCCGTCGTTCGACTTTCAATCTTATTATCCTTGCTCGGCTCGGACCGTGGAGTTCTGGTAGGCTAACGCCATCGTGTTTCCTAACCAAGTTTTTTTTTTTTTTTTTTTTCATAACTCACCACAGTTTTAAAAAATGGCGACTCTGTATCCCTCTCGCTTCTTATCTGTTTTTACTGATCCTCAAAGCTCCTCCAAGATGGCGTTCGGGTTCAATTCTCTTTTTCTACGAGGGCCCAGGGTAAGTTCAGGGGCTGCTATGTTTTCCAGCCAGTTCTTATGATTATGTTGTGTTACGGATATATGATTTTTCGTTATTTGGGTTTTTGTGCGATTAGATTTTGTAAATGGGTCTTTTAAAGATCTGGAGATGAAATTTATGTTTGCTAGAAATAGAAATGGATTTCCATCCGTTAATTAGACATTGTTCAATTACTTTTATGTTATGGGTGGGTATATTGAGGGTTTATTTTCATATTTGGTGGAATTGTTCTACTGGAAATTCAGTGTTCCCAAACTACTAGGATGTAGTGTATGCAAGACTTAACCTTTCTATTGACAATGGTGGATGTTTGAGGAGGATTTCAAGCTAAGAATAGCAGGCCTTGTGTTTGGGAGAGAATCCAGTTGATTATTTTTTTAGTTGGGTTGTTGCTACAAATGCCTTTCAAGTTTTAAATGCATAGTATAACTTTAGTGTTGCCTGATTTTTTTATTAAGAAAACTGGAAGAATCACCCTTGCTAGAAATCTCATTTTTTGGGATATTGTTTTTGTATTTAGCATATCTCCTCAAAAATCATTACGTAAAAACTAGGAATGAGTATAGCTGTGTAGAAAATGAAGTAAAATATAAGAGGGTCAAACGTTATATATATCTTGGCAATAAGATGAAAACATTTGATGCTTATTCTTTTGAAGACAAAACAAATATGAGGCTGCTGTGTTGCAAATATTAGTTGTTCTCATAACCCTGTAACCAAGGCAAGAAGAGTCACAGCTGGGCTAGACAGCAAAAACCTTCGTACTCCTCCCGGAAAATGGATATCATGGCCATTCATCTGCTGGCAATTTATGTTTGTAGTATGAATTATAAGTAACAATGATGGTGTGATTTTTCCTTTAAACAAATAATGACGATTGTAGTAGATATTTGTAGTTCTAATAACTGACTTCTGATTATTTGGAAAACAGTTTTTCCATGGAGTAATTGGGCCAATGCAGATTGAACATATTGAAGCCTTTTACATTGCCTCTTTGATTTGAATTTATTTTTTGCATGTTTTTTGGTAGATCTTGTACCAGTGACCTTCCTTTGTTGTTGCAGGGGCCTTCTCAGCATCTTAGAGAAAGTAGTTGCATGTTAACACCGAATGGAGCTTCTCGTTCAAGGTGTCATATTTCTTGTGCAATAAACATGGGAGCAGGGCACTCTGGTGATCCCAAGAAAATTGATTTAGACCATCTAATGGACAAAGCGAGAAACTTGTGGGACAGTTCTCCCCAGCCAGTCAAGAGCTTCCCCTGGAACAGAGCATTGGAGAACTTCATCCAACTCATTCTTGATCTTGTCTTGTCAGTTATTAAGTACATATCTGTCCCTTTACTGGCAGTTTCCTCTATTAGTGAGATGTCTTATTGTGCACATGAGAGGAAGCTATTTTTCATCCCCTTTCCACTAATCATTGGCATGGCTGTTGCTGGTGTCTTAAAAGAAGCTGCCTTGGAGCTCTCTCCACTTCTCAAGGTTGAGATATTTTTCAGGCATGAAATAGTTAACTACTAAATCTTAGGATAATCTTGCGCCGTATAGTGAAAACCTTTCATGATGCATTCTAGATATAGTGAGTGGACTAGGTGGAACTTTGTGTAGACTATGAGAAACATGAATTAATTAACATGTTGAGTGGACTATGAGGAACATTGATGCTTCAAGATAGCAGAAAAGCTTTCATGGTGCATCTTAGCTATATTAAGAAATGAATGAAGAAGTCCAAATGCGGAATTCTGCTCCTCATGAAGAATCTCCCAAGAAAATTTTTATGGAAAGTGGATAAATATGGTTCCTGCAACAAATTCTCGTCTTTGTTTTTTGTTCTTTGCATTAATATCACAAATTTGATTCTTTGTACTAGTGAGGTTTTTCACAAGATGAATAAAATTGTTGCATGAGTAGAGCCTAGCATGGGGGGGAGCCCTTAGGATAATGCACTGCTCTAATTATGCCGAGTACTTTTATTGAGTTGTGCCTTTTCTATATGGATGGTGATAAGGAATTCTTGTTGATGCTCTTTTTTTTGTCTAAACAAAAAATCAATCTTCTAATGTTGTTGACTTAACAGGATGCAGAAGTTCCGTGGCATTTGATTGCCATTGCGGTATTCTTCACATTACTCAAGTTGCCTGGCCCTTATTACCCATACTGGGGACGTATATTCATACCACTCTTTGCGAATGGAGCATTACTGAGGTGTCTATGGTTTGCAGTTTTATGGTATAGAAAGCCTAAAAGAGGCGTTGCAGCCATAAATCAGTAAATACAGCCATTCAGAACCAAATGCAAAACTTCATCAGGTAAAATAGTTTGGACCTAGTATTTCGTGTTGCCTATCAGAACAAGAATGTGAAAAACATTTGGGAGCTCTTCTGAATTTTATTTACTTTATATTGATATAGAAACCTTCTTACTTTCACTAACTCGTTTTCTGAAAATTTTATGACTGTCAAGATCCTTTTTTTTTGAAAAATATGATTGTCAAGATCCTCATAGATTTTATGACTGTCAATATCTTAGAAATGAGAAACTTTTTCTTTTAATCCACCTTCAAGCTGTCTAGGGAAAACACACTTATTTATCTGAATGTTGCTTCAAAAACAGATCATCATAGGCTTCACGTACTTGCATCTTCGACTGAAAAAGGTTAAGATGAGTGGGTAGGTCAAGACTTTTTTGAAGAATCACCTAAAAGGGGCTTAAGCAGAGGCTAAATGACTTTTCCGGTTGGAGCACCTTGGTAATACATGTAGACAACCGGGTCTCCTCACTGCTTTTAGAACAAGAAGAGGAACTTGTGGAGAAATCTTTTTTTATAGTTTCTTTATATGTAATCAGCATTTAACGTTGTCTTGTTCAGAATGCAATTTTTTACTTTGCGAGTCCTATGCTGCTCTTAGTTGTGAGTTTGATTCTTTTTCCGATTAATCTCTACCCTGGTTTACGATGTCAAATTCCTGATCAATGTATATCCACCCTAGGTTAATTTCACTTTGCACATGACAAAATAACCAGTATATCCTTAAAGCATATATAAGGAGATTCCGAAAATGATGGAACATCCACGCAGACTAAAGATAACATGAAACATTACTGTGTCAGGAAGGGTACACATCAGTACATATATGCAACTTGAAAGAGGTTGAGCCAAATAAAGATCAGACAGAAGAGGGGAGGCTTAACTGAGACAGGTGACAAATAAAGCCTGATTCTCTCACTCAAGACATAGAAATCCTTAACTATAGAACTTCCTTTGCAAACAAAGACCCAAAGCTTCTTCTTCCTCTGTTCTTACACACTCAATAAGCCGGATCATTTAAAAACTTTCCCTCCAAAAAGCCTGTTGGAATCACATTGCATAAACGATCTCTCCACTGCTATCGATATCGAGATCGGGATCAGTTTCTATATCCTCCTCCATGTCATCGTCAATGTCCAGGCTACCAGTCAAATATTGGTTCAGACTATGTGTGCCTGCTGCAGGAATGGTGGCCTCAGCTATTATCCGCATGATCTCCTCAGTACTTTGCATGGGTTGATCAGGTTCGTCAAACTGGTTCATTGTGTTCTCATCCATCAAATCTGCTGGGAAGTTCTTCAGAAACCATTCGTGATTCCTAATCTCGGGAATGGTTATTCTCTGTTACAACCAAAAATTACTCAATTCATCCATAAATTTGATACCGACATCTTATAATTGATCTATAAGATTAATAGTTGCATCCACAAATACGCAAATTAATGAGCAGTTACTCATGTACATAATTAACCAGCCCCTTTACCCCTTTACTTTTTTTTTTAAAAATCGGATTGAAGAGAAAGATGCCTGTCTGAAAGGTTACACTAACCTTTGCAGGGTCAGCCACAAATATTCTCGAGATCAAATGACGACACTCAGGAGATATGTAAATGTAGTCAGGAATTGAATACTGGACATTCAGTATTCGCTGCACCAAAAAAATCATATTAGTCCACTATCTTATAGGAGCTGTCAAATTTAAGTTGTAACAAAGGAGTAATAGATTACATGGATTGTCTTGCGGAAGTTCTTAGGCTCTTCAGGGTCTTCAAATGGATAAGCTCCGACCAACATAACGTATAAGGTTACCCCACAAGACCACACATCTGCAATCTGTATGGCAGATTTAATTGAAGAACCATGAGACAAAGTTAGTTCATTATCACAACTGGAGCTATTTTCAGGCGCCTGTTTGTCTAATGACTTTAAAACTAGCTTCTTTAATATGTCTTCTTTTTATGCAAAAAACTGTTATATAGATTACTTTCCATTAGTATATGCCTTACTCCGAACTAGAGAGGGGTCATTGCAAACACTACACAGATGAACAAGATAGTCCATGGTGGATGAACCCATATTTATGGAAGACAATATAATATCTAGGCTTGGAAATACTTTTGAATTTTTTTTCCCAAACAGCACAAATTCCATTTTACTTACAGAGTATTTGTTGGAAATTAAAAAGAAAATTCCTTTTAATAGAAAACTCTATTTCAAGGGACTCATCTGTGTACTTACATAAAAGCAGTATGCTTATTAATGTTCTCATAGATTTATACTAAATATCATTCACATGAAAACAAAATCAAATTTGAGTATATCTTACTGAAAACAAGAAACTATGGATTCACATCCACAAAGACCATGAACTGAAAGAAAAATAGTACCTTGCCATCATATTCTTTCTTAAGTAACACTTCAGGAGCTATGTAAGCAGGAGTTCCAACAGTCGATTTTGGTTGTGAATGTAGCACTGATGACTATAAGCAGCAGACCAAATAAAAAGGTTAAATGAAGAATTGAAAACCTAAAACACAAAGAAATGGCAAATGACATTAAAAGAATTTCTAAGATGATCACGAATAAGGTGTACATAAAGAATTTTTCCAAGATAAATGCAGAAAAAGAAATTTACAAATGTCTAGAACCAAATGGTGCACCTAATTAGTAAATTTTCACTCTCAGGCCCAAACAAACAAGGCATTACCATAATTAAAAGGAAAAAAAAGAACAAGTTTTGAAATGCATTGCTACACATAAGAAACAAAAAATCGACACACACACACTAACTGTTTCTTTGAAAAAAAAAAAAAAAAAGGTTAATGTATCCCATACCTTGGAGTACCCAAAATCGCAGATTTTCAAACGAGGGGCCGGACTTCCATCTAATAAGGTGTTCTCCAATTTCAAGTCACGGTGGCATACTTGCTTTTATAGGAAAGCAACAAAAAGAATCTAATTGAGTTGCCTAGATTGGGAAGAATGAAGTCAAATGCAGAAAACTAATCTTCTTACCATCGCATGACAGTAGCTTACGCCTGATATAAGTTGTTGGAAGAAAAAGCGTGCCTGTGGCAGAAATTGGCAAACATTAGATGCAATTTTTGAAGGACAAACAGCATGCAGAAAAGGGGTAAGATGAGAACCTCATCCTCACTGAACCGCCCTGCATTGCATATCCGCTCAAAGAGCTCTCCTCCAGATGCATATTCCATAACTATAGCCAGGTGGGTTGGTGTTAATATGACCTGCAGTTTCATCTTAAATCTATTAAATCAAAGACATCTACTAGGGAGAAGGAGACATGGCAAACTGCAGGAGATAGACAAACCTCTTTGAATCTAACGATGTTCGGATGCCTCAGTGACCTATGATTTATAATTTCCCTTTGTACATTTTCATCAATCTGTTACAGAAGGTGCAATAAGTGGGAATGATATGAGATTGAGAAACTTATAGAAGCGCCACCTTGCCATCACAAAACAGCAAATACCAAACCTGAATGGTATGACCAATCAAGTTTCATGATCTACAGCAAGGAAGCTTGGGGAGAGCTAAAGCAACTAAAGTCACATACAAGCAATTACAGTAGAAAGGAAAACATTTGGCATTGGTTTATTCGTTGCTCTTTAGAAGATTTTTGATTCATCAGTAACTTCAAAAATGAGAAAAACGTACTATCTCATTGTAGCTCTAATCATGAGCATCATCAATCAAAACGATTTCAAAGGATTCAGTCACCATTTTAAAACTCATAGCATCACATTACAAAACTCATTGAAAGCAGGAAAAACTTTAGAAGATTCATCCGGCCATATTAATCCATCAAATAACCTGCTACGGAATTTACTTATGCTATCATGAGACCTTTTGACAAATACAACATCAAGCCCCACAAAAGAGGCTCATCCATAACCAACCCAGAATGCTTTTGAATCAGTTAATATAGCTTGAACTCAAAAGCACAAGTGGATGTTTAATGATGAGGTTTATTAAACTTCTTTCTCTAGCATATGGAAATCACAGCTAGTTTTAGATATCTTGAAATTCAAAATTTCAGCATCTCTTCTCATACACCAATATATAAGGAATTTTACTCCAAATTAGTAGTTTGGAACTAAACCAAATGAAGAAAACAATCTAATTGGGGCTCTTCCGGTTATCTTGAAAGATTATTTGAACTGTCTGGAACCAAAAGAAACTAAACAGTGGACATTTGCCCGAATTCTTCTATATCAACAACCACAATCAAAATTCAATTGTCTCATCGTTTTCGAGGTTCTTAAGCAGATTGTTGATCAATATTGTCCATTCAGATTCTTGTCAAAAACTGCCAGCAATCAGACATAACATTATCACTACTAAGCAATTCCAAATAAAACTAGAACAATAACAAAAGCGGGCATTACAAACTTTCAAGTCTCAAATGCATTTCCCAAGAAGCCATAGCATTACGCATCACTACCATAGACAAAGAAGTGAAAACTAAACAATCCCCAAAAAACAGTCCAGAAGAACAACAGAAATCTCAATTCCATAATCCAAATTCACATGATTACCTTAAAAAGTTCTTACTATGTGAACTCCACAAACAAATTAATCCATCAACAATAACTTTAACTCCAATAAACACCAAAACATATTGGAAACCAAACTTATAATCAATCAAGTTACCATAACAAATTCGAGCATTCAAGTTACCATAACAAATTCGAGCATTCAAGTGACCACAATTGAACTAGCCACTCGATTTCCAGATACCACAACTCAAACCTGAAAACCCAGAGCTCAGAGGGAGAAACCCAGTTAAACCTCTACAAACCACTCAAATTCAAACACAGACAACGGAGTAGAAAATTAAGGAAATAAATGAAGAAGACATAAAGTTGAAAACCCATAAACCCAAGAAAGAAAAACCTCAAAAAGAAGCAACGGAGTAGAAAATTAGAACACTGACCTTCTCACCTCTCTCGATATATTTGACAGCAACAAGTTCGTCAGTCTGCTTATCCCTCATCAACCTCGCAATCCCAAAATTCCCGGAACCAATATCCCGAACCAACTCATACCGATCGCTATCGTGCATAATCGGCATATCCATGCCCGGCCCAACACTGACCGGTTGCCGATCCATTTCCGTACGTATCTCTCTCTTTTACTCAATAGACAACACAGGAAAAACCTCTTCAAAAACTATTAAGAACCCAACATCACTCGTCACATTATCATCACTTGATTGATCCCCCCCCCCAAAAAAAAAGGCGAGCAGTACCCAGAACAGTGTGAGCATCCAAAAGGAAGCCAAGATCGAGATCGAGCTAGAAAGATGGACGGGCGATGATGGTGGAGGCAACGTGGCAGAAGCAGGGCCTTCGAGTTTGAGAAGAGGGAAAAGATTGGTGGTGGGTGGGTGAGGAAAGAGACCGGAGATGGGGTTTTGCCCGTGAAAATCTTTACCCACCCTAGTGGGTTTCCTTTGTTTCTTCTTTTTTGTTGGCAAATCGAGAGCTTGGCCAGGCGGTGAACAGAGAGAGAAGAGCTCGTGAGCTGAGCTGAGCTTTTTCCTTTTCTTTTCTCTTCTTTTCTTTTCTTTTCTTTTCTTTTCTTTTTTTTTTTCCCTTCACCTTCTCTTACCTCACTTTCTCTCACTAAAAACTCCACAGATTCTCTCTCTAACAACCTGTACATACACAATGTGCATGCACTTCGTCTATCTGGAGAAAAAAATGGCTTTTTCTCCGTCTGTTTTATCCAAAGCCGAAGCAAAGACGAAGAGAGAGAGAGAGAGAGAGAGAGACAGGGACAGAGATATTTTTATTATTTTATTTTTTTTACTCTGTCCATGAATTCAGTGAAGTTCGACCGAAATGACATAAATACCCCTCACCTTTTGACCCAATGACACATAACGTTCTGCGAATTTGACATTTTAATCTTAAAATTTTGGGAGGTGAAATGACGAAAATGGCCTTCCGTGGATAAGGTTTCACAAGTCACGAGGACCCGCTCTTCTTTTGCCCCCATGAAAACGATTGGTTATGGGTATCATTGGGTGTGGCCACTCACACGATAAAATAATTAATCAAAATTGATTTCCTTAAACATTTAAATTATTCCAATCAATTATTTAATGTCTCTAACTAAAAGAGAGATGGCAGTCTATTCTTTTAAGAGTTTGACAACTACGAAATCATTTTATTTTTCTTTTAAAGAATAAAAAATTAGATCGAATATTTTATAAAAACGACAACAGAACCCGAGTAAATCCGAATTCGACACTGAACAAACTTGGAACTAGCGTTCTTAATGATATTAGGTTTGATCATTCACTTGCATCGCACCAGACTAGTAGTCAATCGTTCTTCCTTTTCAAAACTAAATCTAGTCTGATCGTTATAATCCTACCAATACACTGATGAATTAAACTCTCGATCCGCCGACCACTTGTCTCCCATAACACGCTTAGAGCTTTTTGTGTTGGTGATTATAAAATCATTTCGTCAAAATTCCTTACTAAACAAAACTAGTTTGAGTTTATCAACTTCATACATCGCCATCCATGTCTATATTTGGAAGTCACCCAAATAAATGTGTTGGCTAATTTATTAACATAATGTCAATTCCAAGAGTGCAAACTCCAAAAAGCAAAATAATAAAAGGGAAAGAAAACAAGGCTTCAAACCTTTAAAAAATGATGTGAGGGTTGAATTTGTCCTTCTAATGTTCATAATCACTAGCTAAAGAGCACTAAAACCCATCTCAAGAATGGGGAAAAAGAACATTGTGGATAAGAACACTTTATTAGATATTTTTATTTTACTGTGAGAAAATGATGGACCAGGTTCGGGATTCAGCTTTGAAAAAGTTTTTTTCTTTGCTTTAACACGGACGGTTCCCGTAAGATTTCATACTCGAAAAGAAAATCATTCCATTATCGGAACAAGGAATCTACGTCACACCATGATTTTGATAAGGAAATTTCGAGAGTATGTTATAGTTTTTCCCTTTCCTTATCTTGATTTTCTATTATTTTGGATGTTAACATTTTGTTCATGACTAATTCCATTCATCTTTTACATTTCGTATTCCTATATCACTTGAAGCTTTAGTGTTGTAATGGTCCTATGATGACAATGATGATGATGATATTAACAATAATAAAAGAGAGAACTGTCTTATGCTTATTTCTGAACTTTATAATAGATAGGTCAAAATTTCAATTCTATATAATTTGATATTTGCAGTTAGTTTTGTACCTAAAAATGATTGAAGAAGAAGAAAAAAATGTAAATCACCTTATTTGTCTTCACAAAAGAACATGAATCCAGGACTAACCTTTATTTGGTACGACGTCCATTTCTCAGCTCCTCGGAAGTGAAACGGAGAGATGGGAAGGAAGACATGGCAAGTTCTTGAAGTTTTACATTCTTAATGAAACACAGATCAGAAAAAAGAAAAAAAATGGCAGAACTTCATCATGGTAAATGGAAATTTTTTGGTACAACAGCAGAAACCTCTTCACTCTGTCAATTATCAAAAATTGGGTTCATTACCTGCCGGAGAGATACACATCAAACTTCATTCTTGCTACTTCAAAGAACAGCAGGGGGCTGCTGTTGAATTTCTCCTGCAAAACCTAGTAAAATCTTCCTTATCAGCTTTTTGCTTGGTAGAAAAAGTACAGAGTTGCACTTTGACAATAGGTCCAATAGAATGGGACATGTAGGGGTGAGACTATAGCGCTTCTGAGCAAGCATATCTCCAACATTAAGGTTGAATTTCATTCAAATTTCAGTTCAACAGAACTAAAAAAAAAAATACAATATAAACTGATAAGGAAATTTGAGTGAAATATATTAAGTTCCAAGTTACTTTCGTGTTCTTGGAAAGCGGGAATACATTGTTGTGAAATTAGAAATAGGAATGAGGCTAGTTTATCAAATAAATAAATTATGATTAATTTTTTAAATATCAACTAGATAAGGTTTAGAAATTACATGAGAATAAAATAGACTTGAACCAGAGACAAAGTGATAGTTATTGGATGATATATGCAAAAAATTGTAAACGTCTATCCTTGACAAAAAGGATAAAAGAATATAACCCCTGGTTGGAGATATCATGTCTCAGAGGTACGGTAGATTTTCCCTACACCTAGCTGTTGCATTTGGAACTCTTGCAGATATTGGACAAGTGTACAAAGTTACTATTATCTTAAGCACATGACGGTGGATAAAAATTTGTTTGAGCATCATTTCACTATTTTTACAGTAAGTTGCTTGTTACACATTCTGCCCAAGTAACTGGTATCATAAACCATAGGTGGTTCTGTAGTCTAGGCGCTGCAGGCTGAAACTTTGGAAAGGATAAAAACTGGCAATTGTTTGGTAAGTGATAGTGTTCCAGGGAATAAAATGGTTCCAGAAGGACTAAAAAGGCCAAGATTAAACCAAAGAGGACAGAGGCTTGTCGAAGTAAAGCCCATGACTTAAAATAAGATATAAGCACAAATCCAATAACCAAAAAGGTACTAAGTATATACAGCCGAAGAGTGGCTTTTGTTGTTGGAGTTGAGAAGCATGCTTACTCATTTAGGAAGATCAGCATAAAAGGATAGCAGCATCAAGGAAACAGAGACTGGTATAGGAGCCCTGTGTTTTCTGGATATCCAAGCATTATGTTAAGATTTTGGAGTGCTTGACCTGAAGCTCCTTTCACAAGATTATCAATCTGCAGCAGGATTTCAAGACCTTGGATAAGGACCACAGAACAAGATCATATTGACATACAAACAGAGCAAGTCAATCAAAATGAATGATATCTCAATACATACACTGATATAATTGTTGCTCTTCCAAGGAATTCTATCGGGAAAGACATTCATTAAACAATAATTAGAACCTCTGACATTCTGAGTGCGAGGAACAACTCTTTTTGTCCAACACCTTTACAAATTCTTCATCTTGCAATAACAGAAAGGATATAAATAACTAGAGATCCACAATATCAACAGAGATAGCAAAGAAGTGGGACATAAAGTGATATGCACTATACGAACAATTAAAAGCACATCCTACAACAACTTGCACCCCAACCGTAAGTTTTACAGTCTGTTCTAAAAGTTAAAAATGAGGGAACTTCAGTTGATTGTGCATTACTCATTTTAAATTATTTGGAAGGAATATATATATGACTGGCAGACCTCATTTAAAAACGAAAACAAAGAAGTAGTAATTATTCAACTTGACTCTATAAGAAAGGGTGTGCATGAGTACTTAAGCATATACAGTGTTCGTCAATGATATGGTAATAACATATTCAAAAAATAGGGCAATTCGTAAGGAAATTTTTTGGGCAGAAACAAATGAAAAAAGGGACCTTGTAAGTGACCAATGATTTTGTCCTTTGACCATTAAACCTACAAACCCAGATATGGTCAGCCCATACCCAAGAAGATGGTCCATAGATCAAACCAAAAAGCTAAACATGGATTAAACAGCACAGACTGCAATGAGCCATGCCCTCAGAAAATAAGTACTAAAATCACTTAATACTATATAAGATTTTACCTTATAACAGTCCCTTAAGTGTTCATACAAGTCATCAACTGTAACTCCTGGAGATATTTCTACATACATAGTTGATTGCATTCCGCGGCTCTGAAAAAAAAACAGAAAGAGAGATATACTTACACCTTTTACAAGCAAATAAATCATATCGGCACATGTGATTCATATCTGAATGCAACCGTTACCATTGGCATGAGGTGCGGGGTGAAACTAACTGTAACTTTTGATTGTGCAACATCAGATAGTCCTTGCTCAATTTCTGGAACTGCAATTAGGGAACAAAAAGCACATCACATCCTAAGTTGACAAACGAAAGAACTGACATATATTTAATCAAACATGTACCATACAGTATGATAAGAAGTTTACGAAATTCAACTTTCTACTTCCTTGAGTAATTGGTTTACTATGAGAATTAGAAAGACAGAACTACATACTTGTGGAATAAAGTTTGTAGACACATCTTTCCGTTTACAGTTACATTGTATTTGGTTTACGCCAATTCTAGTCTTGTTAAATTTCTAGATCTAGTTGTTTAATTTGTATAAGATAATCATAATTTGTACAATTGATGCAATGAAATATTAGTTTCACTCCCATCTTCAATTCCATAAATATAGATTTTGTGTTCCCACCTGTCAAGAAAACAATAACAAAAATACTTTTAGACATGGAATTTACTTGATTTAGAATGTTGTTTCCTTTTGAATTGCTATCATATTTCAATTGTATTCTCATTCCTATCCCATGGAATTAGAACTTGAACCAAACTCAACATTTATTATATAAACTCCAGAATTGAGATGCCTACAATCCCAACTTCCACAACCAAAACTCACCATGTCGATGCCTTGTGACACCATAAGCATATATGCCTTCTGCTATTTCAGAGTATAAATTTGCCTCCTTCGCACCACGTCCTACAGAATATATAGAAGCCAGAAGTGGCTAAAGAAGGGTTGAAAGTAAAATAAAGTATATTGCTAATCTTATTCATAATGTTCATTAAGGTCTAAAAGGTTTTTTACAATCCTAACCTGCTCCGCTCACCCCAGATTTGGAGTCAATGATGATATTTGTGTGCTCAATGAGAAATGCCTGGAAGCCAAAGATCAGTTAGCAATCACCGTATCTTTAAAATAATTAAGGACAAAGAAAAAAACAAGATAACAGTCATGCAACTAGTGCATTTGCCTCCTCCACATCAGCCTAAGCCTCTGGATTTAAAAGACCAAGATGAACATATTACAAGAATAATTATGTTAAATAATTGAAATAATGAGGTCACTAACTTATGAAAGCCTCCTAATTGATTAGAAGCAGGAAGATAGCAATTTTTTTTACGATGAGAAAAGAAAAATTCTTAGAGACAGGAAAAAAGGACATATCACCCTCCTAACCAAAGAAAAGAAAGAAGAAAGAGAAATAGAGGAAGATTGCAATAAATCAAGTTTCTGATCAAGTTCAGTCCTAGTGGCAGGCTGGTTTAGTTTACTCAGCTTTAGAGGAATGCATCTCTAGAGAATGTGTATTAATTGTTTTCCAACATATCTGATTATCACAAAATCTCATTTATATTTACCTAATTCCTTCTCTTTTCCCTGTTTTCTTGCCCGTCAATGCATGGCTCATATATAAAAGAAAAATTTAAACAAAGCTGCATTTGGCTGATGAAAACATTTTTTAGTTTTCATTTCCCATGCAAATGTGTGCGCGTATATATTATAACTTTTTATGTATGGGAGTTATATGCATAATTGCATTTAATGAATATGCATGTATATATATGCTTGTACATAAATGTGTATACACACATATATGGATAATATGTTTGTATGTATATGTAAATATTTATCCTACCTATATACATTTAAATAGAACTCTATGCACATGTATTCTTATATGTTACTTAAAGACAGTTTGTAGAAAACAGCATTTTCAAAACCATGTATTCACGTTTTAGAAACAGTGTCATTTCCGAATACCATATGTTGTTTCTACCATTTTCAATAGAAAGAAAAATGAAAACAGAGTACTAAATCCTTTTAAGAACCAAACACAAAAACACAGAACTCAGACACGCATATGCACACGTGAAGAACTTGAGAATAAGAAAAATTTCTCTTTTCTTCTCACTCTACTTTTTATTCATTGATAATCAACAACATTTTATAGATAAAGGAAGGAAGAAAAAGACAAAAGCTAAAAAACTTCCCTAGTGGAAGGGTAAAAAAAAACAGTACAACCTAACAGTAACCATTTTGTTATATTGACAGGTTGTAAAAGACAGAAAAAAAAAATACAGAAAAATAATTCTACACTTCCCCTTGATCTAGGTTACATAAATATTTAGTAAGCCTAAATTGGATATATTCGTGAAGAGTCCTTTGGGAAAGTGCCTTATAAAATATTTGCGATTAATAGGAACGTGGAGTATTGTAATAGTCTGATCTTCAATCTTCTCCCTGATGAAGTGCCTATCTATTTCCACATGTTTAGTTCGATCATGATATACCGGATTTTTATCTATGTTGATTGTTGCTTTATTGTCGCACCATACTTTCATTGGAATAGTAACCAAGAATTTCATTTCCATTAGAACTCTTTTTAACCAAATTCCCTCACATATTCCATGAGCAAGTGACTGAAATTCAGCTTCTGCGCTACTTCGTGACACACCAGATTGTTTCTTTCTCCGCCAAGTGACTAAATTTCCCTAAATATAAGTATAGTACCCAGACGTAGATCTTCTGTCAATTATAGAACCCGCCCAACCAGCATTTGTGTAGATTTCAATACTCCTATTCATTGTTTTTTGGAAAAATAAGCATTGTCCTGAAGTTTTCTTAAGGTATCTTAAAATTTGATACACCATATTCATATAAATATCAGTAGGTTGGTTCATGAATTAACTTGCAGTACTTACAGCAAAACTGATGTCAGGTCTAGTATGAGTAAGATATATAAGTTTGCCCACAAGTCTCTGATATCTTTATTTATCAACCGGCTTGACTTTTTTAAATCCGACTTTTGTAGTTGTTTCTATGGTTTACACCCGAGCATCCCTGCTTCTTTTAACAGATCAAGAATATATTTCCTTTGTGACACAGATATCCGCTTTTTAGAACAAGCAAATTCCATTCCCAAAAAATACTTGAGTGCTCCAAAATCTTTTATCTCAAACTCCGTGGTAAGAAAACTTTTGAGTTTTTGAATTTCCTCTATGTTATCACCTGTTAAAATAATATCATCAACATAAACAATTAGGATAGCTTTCTTACCAGAGGCACTGTTCTTGACAAACAAAGTATGATTAGACTGACATTGCTCACAGCCCATATGTTTAACTACTTTGGTAAATCTTTCAAACCAAGCTCTCGGAGATTGTTTTAGACCATAGAGTGCCTTTTTGAGTTTGCATACCTTGTGAGTTTTATATGTGGTCTCAAGGCCAAGAGAAACTTCCATATATACCTCTTCTTCTAAATCTTCATTGAGAAATGCATTCTTTACATCAAGTTGACAGAGAGGCCAATCAAGATTAGAGGCAAGAGAGAGTAATATCCGGATAGTGTTGTGTTTAGCCACTGGGGCGAATGTCTCATGATAATCTATCACGTAGGACTGAGTGAAGCCTTTAGCTACTAGACGAGCTTTGTATCGATTCACACTTCCATCAGGATTGTGTTTTATAGTAAATACCCATTTGCACCAAACTTTATGTTTTCCTGGTGGAAGTTCTGTCAGTTCCCAAGTCTTATTCTTTTCAAGAGCCCTAATCTCTTCTTGAATAGCACCTCTCCACATTGGCAATGCAATAGCTTCATGAATGGTTTTAGGTTCAGTGGGGCTACCATCAAGTTTGCTTATATATGCATGATACTTTGAGGACAAATTGCTGAATGAAATGTAATCCTGTATAGAGTGTTTAGTACAAGATCGAGTTCCTTTTCGCAAAGCAATAGGTAACTCAGTATCATAATCAGTAGTGGTACCTGTATCAGAAATTGTGCCTGAAAACTCATTACCTGATGTGTTCTTACTGCTTGGAACTAGAATAGACTCATGGCAATGTGTAGTTGGTTCCGAATCTTTATTAACGGGAGTTTTGTGTCTCCTAGTATAGACACGTAACTCTTTGTTGATAGTAGGAATAGATTCAGTTTCAGACTCTTTGATACTGGTTTCAAGAAAATTTGATGAGGACTCGAGAATAGTGATGGGAGAAAAAGTGAGAGGTGGTGTATTTATATTCCATACTTGATATTCTTGATTAGGATTCTCCCTCTGAATCTCAGTAGTGGGATACAAGAACTGATTTTCAACGAAAGTGACATCCATAGTGTTGTAGAAACAACGGGTCTTGGGACAAACACATTTGTATCCTTTTTGACTTGGTGAGTATCTAACAAAAACATATTTAATGGCTCGTGGGTCAAGTTTACCCCTGAGTGAGTATGAACATGAATATAGGCGTAACAACCAAAAACTTTATAGGGAAGGGTATGAAGAATATGAGATTGCGGAAATGCCCTGAAGAGGATATCATAGGGTGTTCGAAATGAGAGAGTTCAGGAGGGCATACGGTTTATCAAGTATGCAACGGTGAGACAGTACTCTCCCCAAAGAAATTTTCGAATGTGGGTAGTGAACATGATTGATCCGGCTACTTCAAGAATGTGTCTATTTTTCCGTTTAGCTATGTCATTTTGTTATGAAGTATTGACACAGGAACTTTGATGGATAATGCCATGGTCAGAAAAATATTGGCTCAAAATGATTTCAAAGTATTCAAACCCTTTGTCTGACCTCACTACTTGGATGTTGGTGTGAAATTGATTTTGAATCATAATGTGAAATTGATTTTGGATCATAATGTAAAATTTTTTAAAAATTTAGCCAACTTCAAATTTTTTTTCATGAGAAAAATGCAAGTAATTCTAGTGTGATCATCAACAAAAGATACAAACCATTTTGTTCCGATAATATTAGTGACCCGGGAGGGACCCCATACATCACTATGAATTAATGAAAAAAGTTTTATGGGTTTGTAAACAGAACTGGGAAATGAATTTCTAAAAATGTTTGGACAGCTGACATACTTCACATTGAAAGGAAGTTGGATTTTCATTTCGAAACAAAGTAGAAAATAGTTTTTTCAAGTACACGAAGTTAGGATGTCCTAAACGGTAATGCCATAACATGATAGGCATTCCATATTTAAATTGTTTACAGATTCAGGATTAGTACATACTGCATGATGAGTTTGTCTATTAAGAGAAGAGTTGTCAACTTGCAGTATATAAAAACCCGAATCCATACTAGCATTGCCAATCGTCTTCCCCGAGTCCAAGTCTTGAAATTCACATAGTTTAGAGTTAAATGTAGCCACACAATTCAAGTTCTATGCTAATTTACTTACTGACAGGAGATTGTAATCCAAATTTGGAACATATAGCACAGAGTACAAAATTAACTTGGGTGTCAGTACAATTATTCATGTTCCTTCGACCTGAGAGCTAGAGCCATCAGCAATTTTAACTGAGAATTTATTTATGCACTTACTATATTCCTTGAATAATGAGATATCCCCAGTCATATGATCGGAAGCATCTGAGTCAATAATCCATATTCCTTTTTTTGTGGAATAAGTTGAAAAATAAAAAAAATTACCTTTGTGAGCTATAAAAGCATTACTAAGAACCATATTAGGTGAAAACAATTTTTGGAGGAGGCTGATTTGTTCAGGACTAAATCAGGAGCTTTCGGTAGAAACGCCTGCAGTGGATCCCTCCTCTGTTGAGATAAAATTGCCCCGATGAATTTTCTCCATTTCCTGCTTTCGTGTTTTCTTCTTCTCAACCGATTCCTTCTCAGCTGGTTTCCCGTGAAGTTTCCAGCATCTTCCACGAACGTGTCCCGACTTTTTACAGTACTCACACCATGGTCGTCCTTTCGCTCAGTCACCCAACTTGTGAGAACAGTACCAGTCTCGGGTAAAAGAGATATGCTTTCAGCAGGGTTAGGGTTGAGTTGCGAGTCACCCATCATCACTTTCTTCCTGCTTTCTTCGCATCGCACCTCCGAGAACACCTCTCTGATGTTCGGAAGAGGTTTGGTTCCAAGGATGCGTTCTCTTACCTCGTCGAGGTTTTTGTTCAGTCCGAAAAGAAACTTGAAGATTCATCTCTGTTCCACGATGCTTCAGAATCTCCTGACATCCTTTGGGCAGCTCCAAGCATGTTCCTCAAAAACATCAAGTTGCTGCCATTTTCGAGTAAGAAAATTGTAATATTGAGTTACTGTTTTTTCTTCTTGGCGCAGGTCGTGAAAGTTTGCTTCGATTTCGAAGATGGCGGAAGTGTTGTCGCGAGTGGAGTAGAACTCATGAGCTGCAGCCCAAATATCGTGCGCAGTCTCATAAATGAGAAAATTTTCGCCAATCTCAGTGGGTCATTGAGTTCACCAACTAAGACATAATAAGATTGTTCTCAACTTTCCATATACGAGCATTTGGATCGTTCGTGGAAGGAGGTGAGAGCTCTCCAGTGAAATATTCATCTCGGCCTTTCCCTTGGATAAACATCAACACCAAGGACGACTACTGAAGTTAGTTACTGCCATTTAGTTGATGGCCAGTAACAAAAGATGGAACCTGATCAGCCAGAGCATGGCAGTCAGGCACTGAAAGGTGAGAGCCCAAAAGAACTTCGGGCGAAGAAGGGGTCGGTTCATCCATTGCCTATTGAATGCAAGAGGGATGTTGAAGAATTTGGATCAGGCTTGCTCTGATACCATGAAGAACTTGAGAATAAGAAAAACTTCTCTTTTCTTCTCACTATACTTTTTATTCATCGATAATTAGCAACATTTTATAGATAAAGGAAGAAAAAGACAAAAGCTAACAAACTTCCCTAGTGGAAGGAAAAAAAAAACAGCACAACCTGGCAATAACCATTTTATTATATTGTCAGATTGTAAAAGACAGAAAAAAGAAAAATACAGAAAAATAATTCTACAACACGTATATGAGAAATGAAAACTAAAAATATCTTCATTTATCATACTTTGACATTCAATGCCCAAAATTCAAAATGAATTAAACTATAGTAAGAGGCTGCAACTAATATTTTGGTTGAAAACTAAACATCTCACCAAGGCCATCATAGATGAATTAACATAACATGGTAGCCATATACCTTCATTAAAGGAACAAGAGGAAGTTGAATGGAAGTTGGATAGCAACCAGGATTAGCAACTAATCGTGCCTTTCTTATTTCGTTCCTCAAAATCTCTGTCAACCCATACACAGCTTCTTTCTGAACTCAGGTAAAGAGGCTTGTTAACAAAAAGAATCAATGTGTGAACAACAATAACAATAACAGTTCCTGACAGAGAAAAGACATGTACAGTGATATGTGGCCTGGTCAAACAGAAAGAAAGGAGAGTTTCTACTTTCTAACAGCATGCAAATTACCATGCTTGGTAAATGTAATCAGCACATTGTAAGTGTAACTCTCAGTTTCTCAACATAAAAGAGATAGTGTTCTTTTGTTAAATAGATTTCTTGAAACTACATGCCAGCAGCATAAAAAATTTGTAGTAGCAATACAATCACCACAAAACAGGGAAGTTCAGCTAAGTACCTGAGAATCTAAGCTATCATCTGTCTACCTTTTTTGAAGTGCCTGAATTATAGTCCCAAAGTTTTATGTGGAAGTGTTGGATGCATCCAATTGCAAAATGAAATTGTACATGGAAGCTAACCATGTTTGATTCTAGGGACTAGGGCTTCTAACCACATAGAGAGTGAGACTTGATGTATATTTCCCCTATTTCACTCACTGATTTTTAGACTTTAAAATGACACTCTCTTCAGAAAATCATAATTGGATATAAGCTAGAGAAGTCCTCAAAAGCAGCATATAGTTAGCAGTATCTTTGGAGAACAGTTCTAGACATTTAGTCAAGAAGCTAGTTGCATTTGATTACAATATGAAGTGGAAATATGATTTTGATTCAGATTTTTGCTGAGTAGAAAAAACATCTTAAATGGTTGGAGGTTAAAAAATAGACAAAAGGTTGGGGGTAGAAGGGAAACAACCTGCAAATCTGGTGCACTGTGTGGCTGGCCATACCATTCTTCATACTCTGCAATATCTCGCAACCGAAAGTCCTGAAAATGACTTGACATAAGCATCTATCAAAATTTTGAGAGTATTATTGTAAGCATGTAAGAAACATAAAAGAATCTTGAGATATAGCATTCCTCAAAACATACTGCCGAAAGATTTTTTTTGAAATAAAATTATTTAAATTTTTTTTTTGAAATAACATACTGCCGAAAGATCAACAATCTTTAATTCCCTTGGGAGGCCTTTGATGATGTCCTGCAAAAAATAACCAAGTATATAGTTCATTAAGAGACCGAGGAATGCCTTCTCAAGTTTAAAAATGATGTTTTATGTCTTGAAGAACAGATTAAATCAGTTAAATACGAATCTGTTAGAACCTGGGTGGTTCCATGAGGCAAACAACAAAATACAGCATCCACACTAGAAAAGTCAGCATCTTTAATAGAGATCATTTTTGGCAGATCCTGAAAAAACAGTGACAAAAGCATCATCAGTGGTGGAGCAACATGATTACAGTTGACCATCGGCATATGAATGAAAATCTAGAGTCAACTAACATGACCATCGTTATCATGACGAACCTACAAGTCATACTTGTGTTATCAAATGAGGAAACACTGATTCCATTGACTGGCCAGCTTTTCTATCAGCAGTCATCAGAGTAATGCCAAAGTATGGATGGTTTGCAAGGAGTCGAACAATCTGCCAGAACGAGAAAAGATCTGTGGCATCCAATATATAGAAACATCCGGCATATTAAAAAAAAAAAAAGAAAAAAAAAAGAAGTTTAATACCCCTAGATGTAGATCTTTACTAACTATTTGGGAAACTCCTTTGAAAAAGAGACATGAATGCCTTCACTAAGCTACAGAGTTGTTGCCCAGTTTTGGATTCAATTCCACTGATTCCTAGTATATTCCTATTTTCAATTTGTATATTAGTTTTAGTATGAACTCTTAGCAGATAATTGGTTGTATTGATTTATCACCATCTTAACGTCTTTGGTAGTGGAAAACAACTCTTATACT